TTGACAAATTTTTATCTAGAAGCTCTTATACTTTACACAAACTTTGTAAAAAATCGGGTGTACAATAATTATTGTACATCCATTTTAAATCTCTCTTAAAGTGATCAAAAGTTACCCCTAAAATGAATAAAAGTTACCCTAATATGTATAAAAGTAACCCAGTACAAATAAAAATAATCTACGTTTTATTGGTAAAGAATTACATTTTAAATGACTAAAATTCAATTATTAGTGGTTGAAAGTAATTTTATCACCCTTATAAAACTTTTCTTTGTTCGATTTATAAAAAAAATCATATTATGTTCAAAGTTACCCAAAAAAAAGGCAAAAAGTTACCCTAAATTGGCTTAAAGTTACCCCTATACTGCTTGATGTACACTAATATTAGTGTAAACCGGATGTATACAAAAGTTTTTGTGTACTTTATCTAGGAACTCTTGGTATCTTGCTTTTTGTTAAAGGTGGAAATTAGGTGAAATTTGGCTAAATTTGCTGATTATTAAAGGTTTTATGAGATGAGGTGCTTTGCTAATTGCTATAGGAACCTTTTCTGCCAGCATAGGGCCACACACTAGCCCCATTTATTCTATAGAAACACCGCAATCAATTTAGGATATTCTGCCATGTGGACCATGATGATGTCAGCAACTTTTGTTTTGGTATAGTTATAGATAATTTTCAAAGTATTGACCGGAAGCATTGCTTGGGCCTAATACTAGTTACCAGATTAATAACAAACAGCCCATTTTGCCTCGTTTATTCAATATTGACTTTCACAGAAGTCATGGACAACATTAAAAAACCTTGTTGTAGATTTCCTCTCTGTAATAGTGTGTTTGGATAACATTAGAGGAAGGAAAAGAGGGGGAGGGAGGAGAAGAGGAGGGGAGGGAAAGGGAGGGGAGAGAAGAATGGTGAGTTTTCCTTCCAAATCTCTCCATTGTTGGAGGGTTCATTTTCCTATAATTTAATCCCTTCATTTCTCTCCCCTCCAATTCCCTTACTTCCTCATTTGTTATCCAAATGAAAGATATCACATCTCTCCATTTACCTCCCTTTCTTTTCCTTCCATTTCCTTCTATCCAAACACACCGTAACACTTTGTTTGGATAGAAAGAAATGGAAGGAAAAGAAGAGAAGAGAAATGGAGGGGGACAAAATCTCTTATTTAGGTAAAAGATTTGAGGAAGGAAGGGAAAGGAGAGGGAGGGATCCATTTTCCCTTTCTCTATAATAACCATAATCTCTCCAAAATTGGAGGGAAAATGGAGATCACCTCCCCCTCCCTTTCTTTTCCCTTCCCTTCCTCCATTTTCCCTCCCCTTCTTTTCCTTCCTTCTTTGCTATCCAAACAAAGCGTAAGTCTTTACTAATGATAGCTCTCTTTCCTCATGTTCATGAGAGACTAATAGCCTTAGAGTTGTTGATTTTATTAGTATGCTTGTGCTTTCTAAATTCTAATGGTTACATATGCAGATATGCCCCTTGATATGAATTTGAGTAGCTCTACTAAAGAGTCAAAGTCATCATCTTTTTTGAGTAACCTATATGTTGTTGTGTTGGGTTGGTTATATTAGTTATATGTCTATAATGATGTGAGGGTAATTAGGTGGTAAAAAGACGGTTGACGTTCTAGGAAAATACTAGGCCAGTGGTCTAGTTAGGATAAGTCATATCCTTTTAATGTTTTCTTAGTTCTACTTGGTTCTACTTGTTCTTTTATAACGTGTAAAAAAAGATGTATTTTATTGTTAGGTATCCTAGTTCAATTAGATGTTTATTTTTACTCCCTCCGTATTTTATTACTTGTCCATTTCTCCATGTGCGGAGTTTTAGGAGTATTAGTCGAAAGTAATAAAATATTACGGAAATGGGGTTGGTTGAAAATTAAATAAATCTGAAAAAGCAAAAGTGAGTATAGGTGGGAGGAGAGTGAATATGAAAATTATCAAAATATAATATAAGGGGATCACTAGTGAGGAGGAAATGGAGCAAGTAACAAAATATGGCTGCAAAAGAAAAGTGGAGCAAGTAAAATACGAATAAAATATGGATGGAGTATGTGATTTAGGATCCTTTGGTGAATTGTTCTTGAATTTGTATTGCCACAAATAATCGGCCTATATTCCATTTACTCCGTATTATTTAAGGATATTTTTAAATAATCTTCTTGTTACTAAAATTGAAAAAATTTCACTCAACCCATGTGAAGTGGAGCCTTCTACTAACTCTCTTTTCCTTGCACTCTAACCGCACTTTACAAAATGGAAAATTTGCCAATTACTACCGCAAGTTAATACCACTTTGTAAATTACTACCGCAAATTAAAAAAGTTGTGAATTACTACTGCAAAAATTTTTAAGATGTTGCGATTACTACTAAACCCCCATTAAACTCAACTATGACGTCATTATATCACTTTAACCCATGGTTAAAGCTCTTAACCATGGTCAAACATGGGTTAAAGCCCTTGACCATGACGTCATTATATCCCTAACCCATTTTCTTTTTTTGGGGGGGAGGGCTGGTTAAAATCTTTAACCATGGTCAAACATGGTTTAATAGAGGTTTGGTAGTAATCGCAACATCTTAAAATTTTTTGCAGTAGCAATTCAAACTTTTTTAATTTGCGGTAGTAATTTACAAAGTGATATTAACTTGGGGTAGTAATTGGCAAATTATCCTTACAAAATACGTGTTTCCAAATCTAACAAGAATATTATTTGAGGACGGAATGAGTATGTAAAGGCCTTTCAAGTGTTACTATTTTTTTAGATTTTATGAAGTCTTTTGATCTAGCACATATCACCCCGTGTTTCTTACTTAAGTTGCAATCAAAACATTACTTTTGCAACTTTATTTGCTTCTGCAGAGCTATATCTGGCCATTTTATGTTTCAGTTTTCACCTGTTCTAAGCTCCTGTGTTAATTTGCATGTTTAGCTTTGCCTCCTAGTTGTGAATCTTGTGATTATTACTATTAACTTGTTTAATTTTTATTTTTCATAAGCTAACGTGATTATCATTCAGCTTTTGAGTGCTAGGGACATGGCACAGAGAACATTCATTGGTAAGGAGAGGATTGTATACAGCACAGAAAAGGGTCTAGATGAGCAAGACTATGAAGAACGGGAATGGACCAGAAGATTTGAAGAACTTGAGAGATCTGACTGACAAACACGTACTAACCTGTAAATTTATTATTTTTGCTAGCCCAAGGTGTAGAGTGATGCAGATAGTATATTTGTATTTAAGCAAGGGAAAAGAAAAGCTTATTGGTTTGGTTCACTATTTGTCGACATTGGTTAAAACTGAGTCCCAAAAATTTAGTTGCTTTCATACTTATTCTTTTGGTTCGGACATGGTCAGTCTGTAAAGTATGGTTTATACGTCTGAAGGCAATTACTGTGGAACGGTGGTGGGCTGTGGAACGTCCCGACGAATTCACTAACATCGATGCAATCTCTCTGGTTTGCAGAATAAGTTGCTCTATTAGCAGTAGGGTTGTACATTTTCAGTGTATATGTAAAAGTGATGCACTTTTGGATATTCAATATATGTATTCACTAGTTAAGCTGATTCTTTGGGTGATCAATTGGGATATTCTAGTACTCTTTCTGTCCCAAAATAAAAGTTCCATTTTTTTTCTAGAACTTTTCCTCTATATAAAAGTCTCATTTTACCTTTATGGATTACTTCATTCCCTTTTATACAATCAAGTCCCACTTTTATTTAGTTTTTATTTTTTATTCACTTTTAAGCTGCCAAATCACACTATCCAAATTCTTGGGAACTTTGATCCACAATCCCAAATCTTCATAATCGGAGTTGAGTTTTGCTTAACTATGAGCTACCATATCCAGTTTACATGCAAAACTAGGAGCAAGAATTAAAGTTAGCATCATGCTTAACAATGTCTTACACGATACTATCTAGAATTGATGCCTACTTAAAATGGCCATACATCTTGCATTTTATTACAAGTATGGCATAGCGGAGTCCAGCTTCAAAAGGAAATAATAAGGCGAAAGAAATAATAAAGCCATGACAGGCTGCTAGCACCCTTGCAACATCTACATGACCATCTCCAACACAATCTTTCTTTACAGCACCAACGGCGCAAGCACCTTCATTGAAAGTGGTAGCATCTGAATTGATCTTATCTGTTTGCTGGGGGTATGTGCTTTTCAAAATCCCTACTATTTAAATCACCCAAAATATACACCACCGGTTCTAATCCTTGTTTGTACTTATCACAGAATTACACCAATTCCATAGAGAAAGCTATTTCATTTGTCCAGTATCAACACAAAGGGGAATAATATTATAATATACCCCAAACTTTTTGCTTCAGAACATCAAGCAGCAGGTGGCTCACTGTCTCCTCCTGCCTCCTCAAGATTTGGGCACTGACTGTCAATCCGTGTATCCCTACAACTCTACGAGCCAAACTATCCTTGACTGGAATAACAAATTTCTTTGTTCACCACCCGAAATTACAGACTTTTGGGGGACTTCTGCTGCACAAAATTTTCTCCGAAGCTTCTTTGTGCTTCCATCTGATGCAGAGGCCTGATTTGAATCGTATGATTTTCTATTAAGATGACAGGCATCTATCGTGACTTAATACACCAAACAGTTTTATTCTTCCTAGGAAGTGAAATTCTCGAGAATTTGCAAATGATCAGTATGTGTAAACACACAACCACTTTGTTTATATCTGCATCTGCATCACATATTTGCTTACGTCCATATGATATTTCATCTTCTAATACCTTTTTGACATGGACATGGCAGGGATATGTGGTGATCTAGGACTGCGAGCAAGTTCAGGAGTTTAATCCCTTGCCTTTCAATTTGGCTCCATAATGTTTTAGGGAATCATGAATGTACACCGCTTGTTGGAGTTAACCCATATCCTCAATCCATTTCCTCATAATTGAGGATATGACATGGTAAAACATAATGAAGAATATTTTAACTGGCTAATAAGTACTATTATAAAACAAGTAAATTGAGTACTCGTATTTGGTCATTTTATTCAATTCCTCAAAGTACAAAAATTGTGACCATTCCCTCAAATGGTGAAGTCATGGAGTGTTGTACAATGATTACAATCTGTCAAAATCAGTCTGCCCTCCTATTATTGCAGTAAAGCATACACATATGCAAGAAGTACGAAAACACAAGGAAAACTCTTACTAAGGGAAATACTTTACCATCTGAATTTCCTTTTCCTTAAATCCACATTTCTCATAAAACGCTTTGTTCTCAGTAGAACAGTCAAGGATAACCTTGTAGCATCCCATTGATTGTGCATGTTCAGTGAGGAACTCAATCATTTTCTTGCCCAATTGCTTCCCTCGTGCATTAGCATCAACTACCAGATCTTCGACGTGACCAACCTTACCACAATTTCTAATAAATTTCTTCTCAATGAATACACTTCCTGTTGCTATAATCTTTCCAGTGTCATTATCTTCTACTACACATATAATATGGTCATCCCCCTCAGAGGCAAGCTCCTTAAATCTATCCTCAAATTCCTTGTCCGAGACTGAGTCACAAACTGTGAGCTGACGCAACAGCTCTATAAAACCTTTGTTTTTGTCAGCGAGTTCTAGCCTTCTAATTTTGCACTTTTGGTCATCATTGGAATTGTTAGCTAGCATATCTGCTCCTGGAGCGCGTTTCCTATACAAGAAACATGATCATAATCAGCTTGATACATTGCAGAGCTACAAAGAGAAGGTACAAATAACAATATATCCATTTGGCTGAACACTGAACCAAATAAGCACCCTAGCAATCATGATTCATGGACTCAGCCAGTCTGAACCTGAAGGGTCTAGCATGACTAGAAAGGTTTCTTTCATGGTTAATATATACATTATAAAAAATCAAAATCAAAATACAACAAATAAAAAAATTTAGTAAGGAAAAGACTAGTTCTCTTATACAACAAAATAATACATACTTGTATTAAACTTAGGAATCAATACTCACAAATATATAAACAATACAACCGAAAACCTAACTTGCCTAAAACTCCTAACAAGATAAACTTAACATAAATACAATATTAACAAATATAACCAAACCGACTGTAATACAGAACCCTACAGGTTTATGTTGAGACACCTTAATAAACAGAATAGTACCAACAAACTAAAGATATTGAGTGAAGTAATGGCTACTATCTATCGTAATAAGCAAACCTATAATTTTTTAAAGATTCTATTAATATTCGAGCTAAACAAACTATATGCAAGGATAATATCAGAAAAAATTTCTTTTTAAAATCACCGAATTTGCCAACTTATATCAATTACCGGTTACCTGATTGTAGCATCAAACAAATTTTATTTTGCTCTCACAAAACGAAAATCCAATGAGGCAGGGCAGGAGGGAAAAGAGCTCTGATTTCATAGTTAAATCCGAACATTAAAGTGTTGTGCAATACAATTTGATTCATAATTATAGGGATATTTGATTCAAATATCGATCTCATCAGAGATATTTGATATGATGATAACAATTACAAACAACTTACCTCAGAAGTTGCTTCAATGGGGGATACAAGAACTAGATTCACGCCAACTGCGCTTCAATGGAGAACGTTGAGTGCGCTTCAATGGATATCTCACTAATCTCAGAGAAACCAATTCTATGGATCCCTTATGACCCGTCACTTTTATTAAGGGGATAGATCCGTCTAATAATAATAATAAATAAATGGGATAGCGCATACTCCTTCCGTCAATTTAATGTTAATTTAGGGACGGAGGGAGTATGTTTTAAGGGTTTTGAGTAACCTGTTTTAAAAACTACGGATTATGAAGTATTTTAAATTTACACTTCCTGTCCTCGAAAAAAAAAAATTTACACTTCCTTTCCCAAATATTATCATCACACACCAAACCTTGTACTCCCCCTGCCCCTTTATTACATGTTTGTATTTATTTTTTGGGTCATTAAAATTAAGTGTCTTTTTATTTATATATAGGTTGTATTTTCTTACAATACTATTCTCTCTTTTTTTTTTTATGATTTATCACCCTTTTTCCTTTTCTATTTTGTACTCCCTCCGTCCCAAAATTACATTCCTCCTTTCTATTTTTGGTAAGTTTTTTTTTTAGTAAATCAACTCTCTTTTTCTGCTTTATATTTAATGCTTTCTCACTCATCCTTACCTAATCTCACTCATAATCCTTGTGTCAAATTACAATGAATATGATTGGTTAAAAATTTTCAATTAGGAGCATGTGATTGATCCTTTTTTTTTTTTGCAAAGGATTGATGACATGTCATGAGTAATAACTAGTCTATCTTTGTACTTCCCATTGCATTATCTAATTATTGTTATTTGTCTTATTCTTTTCTCCTTAATTCCCGTGTAAATTTCCAAAGAGGAATGTAATTTAGGGACGGAGGGAGTATTTAATACTCCGTATCAATTTCCAATGTTTTTTCTATCCTAATTCCCAACCACTTTTTTATTCTGTCCAACCCCCACATGCATATTTAATACACCTAATTATTAGTTTTAAGGAATCTTTAACTTTCTTAATTCCCGTGGAAAATGAGAAATAGGCATGTAATAAAGGGACGGAGGGAGTATAATTTGTATTGTAAAAAAAAGAAAAAATGTGTTTCTAATCCATACAAATTAAATATCAGTTCCCATAATTTGTTGCTATATGGCAACAAGACAAAAATATATATGATGTCATCTAGTAACAACTAGTAAGACAATTTGTTTTAAACATCAACAAATCAAAAACACGTAGCCATTATTTATTAAAAAACTTAGGCGTAAAATGTAGTTTAAAAATCTATTGAAAATTTTAGTTGCTAAAAAGCTTTTATTTCTGTAGTGAATAGAGCTCGATATCAACAAATAATAATTTAATTGTCTCATTTTATGCGTCAATTATGTTATTTATCGACGTGCAAAACAAGACAATTATGTTATTTTATTGTCAATCCCAACTTAATTAGGACCCATAAACCTTATTTGAGTAATTTTTTAGGCTAAAAAGTAACATCACACAAATCGAGACTTATCTTGACAAGAACAATGATGCATTAACGTTATTTTTTTCGAAATTTCTAGCTATATTTGAATTTAATAAATATTAAAATGACCCCTAAAAGGCAAAAACCTTAATCAAGCAACTTTTGCAGCTAAAATAATAATGACATGTCAATCGAGACATTTCTCAATAAGCAAAACGAGGCATTTACATTTTTTTTGTCAATTTCGAGTTTAATTTAGAATCATAAACCAAAAGGACCCCAAAATAATAACAAAACATTTTTTTAAAACTCAAATTAAGGTTTTATTTTACTTATAATCAATTAAAATAAGGTAAAATAGTGAAAACAAAACAAGGAAAAATTGAAAAGAATAATCCCACCTTTCGCACTTTTGCTCAAAATAATCTCACCTTTGCGTATTTCAGAAATAATCCCACCTTGTACCCCAATATATCTTCCCAAAATGAGCCTTTTACCGGTTTGTGAAATTGGTAACCTGTTTTAGAAGGTAATATGACACGTGTCACCTTCTTATTGATTTTTTATTTATAATTTTTTAAAAATAAAGGAATTAAAAAAAAGAAATTAATAACCCTTCTTGCTTCTTCCTCCTTCCCCTGCCGAAGTTAATCCCTCACCGGAGCATCGCCTGCCAACCAGTCGGAATCAACCACTCGCTAGAAAATTCGGACCCAACTACTCGCCGGAACATCCGGACCCAATCACCATGTTCCCCGAATCCCTCTCCTTCCCTGATTCCATCCCTTTCCCCAATTCTAATCGTACCACCATTATCACCACCGCCACCACCATTCCTCCAGAACATCAAGAACCACCACTACTGTGACTTTCTCACCTGACCCAAGCCAGCCCGGATAGCCCCTTGAAAAAGTCTGTAATTGACGATGGATTGGAATTGATCGAAAAAACACCCACCACAAGCTCAAAATTGTTGAAATTAGGAGGCGAACTACTATAATTAATGGTGGATTGGAGCAATTGGTGATTAGTGAAGGTTGAATTAATGTTGTTGCCTTGCTGGGTTGTGGGAAGCTGGCAGTCCGTAGGTTGTTATAGAGCTGCTACGAGGTGTTTTCGTGGCGGTTTGATTGTTGATTACAAGTGGCAAATTGGTAATTGCGGGAGCTACGATGCTTCGATAATCACAGGTTGCTAGGCAAAACTGATGATGCAAGCTATTAAAATGGGTGTTGTGGCTGACGTTTAAGCTGGTGGTGATGGTGGTTGTTTGGTGTTACAGGTTGTGCGGTGAGATTGGCGAGTGGGTTGTGATTTAAGCAGGTTTAAGAGGAAACTGGTGGATAATAAAAAGCTAGGGGGCAAGGGAGTGTGATTGGGGCAGCCACACTTTGAAGCTGGGAAGGTGGAGGAAGGTGGGAATATGGTCAGTTTGGTGGGGATGGATGATGGTCATGGTGGTTGAGGTGGAAGATGAAGGATTAATGGAGGTTGGATGGTGTTTGGCGTTTGGTTAGTTGAAGATCGGTGTAGGAGGGAAAAACAGGGAAAAAAGAAAAAAAAAAAAAAAAAAGATAACCTTTTCTCCAGGTTACCCGTAAAAAGGATCATTTTGGGAAGATGGAGGTTCAAGGTGGGATTATTTCTGGAATACGCAAAGGTGGGATTATTTTGAGCAGAAGTGCGAAAGGTGGGATTATTCTTTTCAATTTTTCCAAAAAACAAATCATATAGGTACTACGCAGCGGATATAACATGAATCATATTCAAACAAGTACCAATCCCAAGAATCACATGCATAACACGCAAGACACATAATCATACCTTTGACGCGTGAATTCCACAAAGCTATTCGACAGGCAAATCAGGGAGAGAATAGAGCCCCAAGCGTTGCTCCTCTACTTAGTCCACGAGATTCGAACGAGCAGTCCACCAATACTATATTGGTCGAGTGATTGAGGAAAACCGCGATCACCACCTTTATGGACAACCGACCACCGCACGAACCACCACCACCACGAGACACCACCGACGCCAATAAGGAGGAGGAGAGCCATGCGAGAGAGAAGACTATGAGAGGGGTTGGGTTTCGTGTTTGCTAATTAGGGTTTGATCACACTGATCAGTTAATTCCTTACAACTGCAAACCTAGACACCTAGTCTATTTATAATCTCATTATAATTAGACTAGGGCACGAAGCCCAAAACTCCTTCTAATCCACTACATGGCCGGCCACCTAGAGTGATGAGGCCCATGATGGGCCTCGTCCTCTAATGCTCGATCTAGCCCCTTTGTGTGACCTTATAGGATCCGTCCAATTGGGCTTTGGGCTATTTTACTAGTCCAAAAATCGTTAGTACCTCTAGCTATGGAAAAACGACGACCCAAATGTACGAACTTAATTATCTCCATAATTTGATCCATTTATATATCTAGTAATTGCACACGACGAAGACATAACTCCTTCAATCTCCCACTTGTCTGAGACAAGGATGCAATATTCAAATTCCTTAAGTCAATATATGTGTCGATTTGATAATATGATTGCATCACATGTCAAGATCATATTAATCTACAAATCGTTTCTTGAAATCTGAGTTAGAATTACAAAACCAAATTATTACTGTGTAATGCATTTGAACGCGGCCACGTATTTTCTGAATTCTCCCTCTTCAAGCGGCCATGACACATTTCCTAATTTAATAGGTAGAATCTATCCAATCTTGTGGCAACATGACTCCCACTCAACTTCTGAAATAACCGGGAAACACCCTTTATAATCTCTAGTTACGGCTAGACGTTTGAGTGTACCACAGTCACAACATCCATTGAATGAAATCAATGTTCCACTCATGTCAAAGGAATCCACTACTATATACGGAAGCTCTATACTTGAACTTCAAAGTAGGTCAATAGTTCGATCATGCATCATTCATGCATATCCAAGTGATTGACCGAGCATCACTATGCCCCCATAGCCCATGAAACTACGCTATCCAATCAATCTTACATGCTAGTTCATTTATTGAAATCATTTATGTCCACTTTAATGATCTCGAACTAGGAACTTTAAATAATATATGAATTTTGTTCACCTGTGGGGTTTCAATTCACCAGGTCATCAACCTGATGAGCCCATCAATTCATAATTATTTTGGACATTTTATTTAATTTCCAAAACCATAATTAAATAAGAGAAATAATAATTTCTATTTTAAACATAATTCTGCAAATTGATGCATTTCTCATGTAATATGCTTTCTCAAAACATATACAACTTAAATTACATAACTTGCTTCAATCCTAAGACTTTAATATGACTCTCATATCTTAGTCCATGGAAGGGGTTTAGTGATTTCTCACTCATAATAAAACTTTGCAGAACACGACCTTCCGCTGGTCAATGATCTCATAATTGAGGTGATATCTCATATCCTTTTGGATTTGTGTTGTGACTCTGGCTCCTTTGTTTTTGGGAAAAGGTGACTTGTTAGTCACATGACATTTTAATCCAAACTTCCTCTGTAACTATACACATATTCCGACATTGAGTATGCAACAGTGCTCTGCTTTGAACTCTTCAAGCTCACTGTCCTTTTCCATTCAGACACAAATATGCATTTAGATCACCATCTAGAATCATCTTGCCTGTTTGGAAAACTTGCATTCGTGTAACCTTTTGACAACTTGCTTAAATTACTAGAATTCCTTTTAGTGCTTCTCAAGTACTCAAGGATCTGTTCTTGGTAATTCTCCGTATACTTATTCTGAATTTGCTTGAATTCTGCTACACATGCACAAGTCATATGCAACATCTTGCTTTGTACATTTCATGGCATATATAATGAACCTTTTGCAAAAGCATAAGGTACACTAACCATACAACTCAACTCTATTAGCTTTTGAAGGCACTGAGTCTTACTGAGTATATTATCATGAAAT